TTATATTTAATTAATTTCTATATTACATATTTAAAATATATAATATTTAAGATATAAATATTGTTATTGACAAAAAATAAAAAAAGATCTTAGTTAAATCAAACATAATTCTGTTTTTATATTAAAAAAAATAAAAATAAAAAAACAGAAGAAAAACCGAAACAAATTGAAATCATAAAATAATCCAAACATATCAACAACCTTGTAAGATTTAAAATCAATCAGGGTCAAATGTCGCTAATTATCCAAGATTTCTATGAACAAGATTAACCCACATTTCTAAAATGATAAATATTCTAATCGTATATATATATATATATATATATATTAATAGGATAACTTTCTTATCGATGATTAGACGTAAAACTTGAAGATTAAAGTCACAAACACGTTAATCGATCTTCTTTCATATGTCTCTTCTTATATTCTCTCTCTCTCTCTCTCTTTTTCTAAAGATTAAAAACAAAAAAAAACAACAACATTTATTAGAAAGAACTAAGGTTAATAGAACTTAAACATTAGAGAAAACTTGAGGTATAATAAATGAATGAACACACACAACACAACACAACACAACTATATCTATGAAATGCTTTCTTTCTTTCTTTCTTTCTTTCTTTCTTTACTTATCCGTTTTCACCGACAATTAAAATGGAGACAGGTTTACGTACGATAAATCGCACGAGATATCGAACAGAAGATATATATCATATATGTATGTATATGTGTGTGTTGTATATAGTCTTCCGATAGGCTATTGGGGATCCATAAAACGGAACGAGTATTTCTGCGTAGTCACTTAGAGTTGATTGGCTGTCTTGTTAAAATGAATAAATGCACGAGAAGCTTGGTTACTGATTTTTTTTTTTTTTTCGTTTGTTCCATTCTTTTTTTAAGTTTCCTCTACCTTACGAGTATATATATATATATATATGTTCTACATACATGTGTGGTTAGTACTAGCAGCAGCTAGTGTATACATATATATATATATATGTTTACATATAGAGAGACATGAATGCATGTACACCACAGAAGAGAAAGAAATAGAAAGATAGTAGTAGTAATAGAAGAAGAAGAAGAGAATGAATCTTATTAGAAACGCTTCCACCGGCTATACTTTCATCCCGGATTAGATTATTCTGTTCTGTAAACTAGCGTGTCCAGGTTGGTAAGTGTTCTCTCACTAAAATCAAGCCACAAGCAAGCTTAAGGATAGGTAACAAGATGGTAAATGAAATATAGGTGAAGAAAAGAAGAAAAAAAACAAAACAAACAAAAGTTTCAAGTGTATACTTTCATGTATTTCTGTTCCATTTTTTTTCTTTTTTAATTTTATTTTATTTTATTTTCTCTCTCTAATCCAATAGTGTAACTTCTTAGTAGATGTCTTCTGTATATTTTATTTTTTTTTTTTTTTATTTTGCATGGTAACAAGTAAAGTGATCAAGTATCATAGTTGTATGTATGTATGTATGTATGTGTGTGTGAGTGTGTGTGTGTGTTGTGTATTATATTCCTATTTTACCTTAGTCTTTCTAAAAACGATTTCCCCAATGTGTACTACTGGTGAACAAGGTGTATGAGACACGTTCTCGATTTTCCAAGCTTGATTTGACCATGTTTAGAAAAATAAGAGAAAAAGTATGACGAGAATGTGGTGTATGTGTTAGTCTCTTTCAATGCTAGTTTAGGATTTTACTAGGATAGTATAACTAACTAGAAGTGTTTGTTGATGTCACCGTTTTATTTTTCAACGTTTAACTATTTTTTCGAACTAAGTGTTCACCTTGTTTCATTAATTTTTGATTAGTAAGGAAACACATTTAAAATTTAATATAAATTATATATATATTATATTATCAATGAAAATAAAATAAACGCACAATATAATATTAATTAATATTACAATATATTAAAATATATATATCCTATCTTTCAAGTTGAATGAAACTGAACACATTGTGCAAAATTTGATTAAAATTGGTTCAGCAGTTTAAGAGTCCATTGCGGACAAACAACGTGACACGTCATTTATATATATTAAGATTTTATTAATTAATTAATTCAATATTTTTGTTTCATCGGTTTCACGTACTTCCGTATCACGATTTTCAAATCACCCTGATTATTCTAAAGAAATGTTCACTTGAATCATTCAATCATACAAAGTAATGCTACAGTAAAATAAAATTTGATTGAACCTAAACAAAACAATAATAATATTAATAAACATTAATAAAAGATATATGAAAATACTTTGTTGCAAATCGTAGACAATTTTGCACGCATACATTTTGTTGTGTTCTTTTCCTGTATAGAACCCAAAAAAAAAAAAAAATAAAATAAAAGGAAGTGTTGGTCTTCTCGCGACACATGGGCGCGGTATGTTGAGATCGACCCACGCGTAAAGTAGACCATTGTAGTCAAATAAAAATGAAATTCCTTATGGTTAAAGGAACGTTTCGAGGAGGCGGTGGTGTGTTTTCTGCTAGCGGCTAGGTCGAAATACAAGTATCGGCTTCCAACCAACCAACCAACCAACCAACCCAACCAACCAACCCGATCGTTGAGAAGCTGAGAAGAAGTCGATCGATCGATCCTGGGGATACCCGATTACTTAACGACTACCACTAAACCACGTTCCTTTCAAACAAACTCCCTGTTATTACTCAGAGAAAGCTTTGATTTAGATTGAAATTATCTTCATGATAAATCAATACTCTCCTTCTTCCAACTAATCTCTTTTATCTAGAAAATTATTGAAATCATTTTATCTATTATATAATCACACATTTTTATTATAAATTCAATGTAATCCTAGTTTTTTTTTTTTATTTTTTTGTTTTGTTTCAAAGATTTGAATAAAATTTTACACAGTGTGTGGAATTTCATGCAAATTGAAATATAGGATATCTTAATATATATATAAATTTCGTGTCACGTTGTTTGTCCGCAATGGACTCCTAAACTACTGAACCGATTTTAATCATATTTTGTACAATGTATGCAGTTTCATTCAACTTAAAAGATAAGATAGTTTATATCTCAATTAATAATCGCAATATTATTTTATTGACGTGTGTTTCGGACTGATTGTGGTGGTGCATCCCCTAGTAATAATATAAATTCAATATAATCCTATTTTACTATTTTTTCTTGTTGTTGTAGTTTTTAAACTGGAAATACAAGGATCGTTGCGAATGTATTTTTGTAAATGAAACTATTAAAAAAATACTAAAAAAAATATATTAAAAAATGACAAGTAACAAATTTATGAATTAAAATAAAATTCATAACTTTGTAAAATCTTATTGGCAAAGATTATGCAATACAATTGTTATATTTGTTTTTAAATAAAACTTTGAAAGACAGAAAGAGAGAGAGACAACTATTACTAACAATAAGAGAAAGCTATGATTTACATTCTAACGATACTGATAAATCAAAGTGATAAAATGGTAGGTACAGAATTGTAAAAAAAAAAAACAAACCAAAAAAAAAGAAGCAACAAAAAAAATCTATGAACTATAAAACTTGCTTTACAATCGAACAGGAGACAACAACTACTACTACTACTACTCCATTTCTCTAAAACTCGTTTCAAAGATATTGTTTGCAACGTGGACAGAAGTTTTCCTTTTTTTTTCTTTTTTTTTTTCGTTCAAAACACGAAACTATGATAGACTATTATTATTATTCGTGGAAAGTTAGAAAATGATGTTTATAAATCAATGCTAGTCACAACATACACACGCACACAAAAAATAGAAAAAAAAAATGTTACAAGTAGAATTCCAAAAATGTATCAACCATAAAATCATAGTGGCATTGTTTAATAAAATACCCATTTCCACATGTCGTGTGTATATCTTTTAAATTGACGAATGTAAAAAGATTTGTTGCAACATCGATTGGTGATTGGGGGGTTGGGGGAGGGGGAATTTCTTCGCTGGGAAAGAATGACACCCGTGGGTCGAATGATATCGCCCAAACGATTTTCTTCTCTCGTTCGTACTACTATCCAACACCTATGAGAAATAAGAAAGGAGAAATAGAAAAAGAGAATGAGAGACATAGACACGACGTTTATATTCGTCAAACATGAGAGGCGGTTTCATGCGTTTCCGCTTTCGCTCGTAATGGATACTTCCCACTGATTTTCGAATTACCGACTACTAACCAATACTACATTGATTGCACCAGTCAATTTAATGTCAATTTCAAAAACAATTATTTATTTTATATATATATTTACCTTAACAACTAAATAACAATTTGTATTACTTTTTTGTTTATGTTATCTCAAATATTAATAGATTAATTGTAAAATTTAATGTGTTAATAATGAAAATAATTAAATTAAATTTAATAATTATAGCACTCGAATTGTAGAGCTGTTTTTTTTTTTTTTCATTTTTATTGAATTATTTGAAGATTCCCGCGCGCAGTCATGACTACTACGAGAGTCAAATTTTACTAGTAATACAAAAAGAATACATTAGAATATGACAATAATTGTTAATAATAATTGGAAATAAATATGAATCTTTGTTTTAAATAAACGTTCAACGTGGGACAAAAGTAAGGAATAAAAAGAAAAAAAAACTGTAAATTCGTGATTTAAGATGAATTGCTGTTGTTGTTGTTCTCGTTGTTGCACATCGATGTCGAGTACTGAAAAAGAAGAAGCTTTTTCTAAAAAAGCTCATTTCGAGAACGTCAAAAGCCAACAACGGTAGCAGCAACGTAGTCGTCGAGCTTTTTTTTCCTTTCTTTCTTTCTTTCTTTTCATATTTCTACTTATGTACGTGTGGGTGATACACGGTAACACAACACACAGGAACATTTTTATCCTTTCTAGGTCAAACTTGAATTTTTACGTAAGCCGTGTTACGACGATGACGACACGATTACGACGACGATTTAACACGACGTAGACAAAATTGTGTTTATCGTCAAATTTAGTTTTCAATTTTGTTAACGACAAATTTTGTAAAATAATATTTTATTCGTGTTTTATTATTTCTTTTTTTTTTTTTACGAATAATTTTAAAATTTAAACAGTTAACAAGGTTACAAGTAAAACTTGATTTGATTTAGTTTATAATTAAACGTATAAAAACAATATCAACATTATTATTAATTACAAACACTAATCTAATTTGTTCATTTTATTTTCGTAAAATGTATAATAGATATATATACGTGTATACTAGTCTTAACTTGATTTTTAATTACTACACACATCAATCATATGTTTGTAAAATATTTAAAACTAGGGGCGCCCCGTCACGCGTTGCTGTGCTGACTCACAATCAGAGTCCGATACACGCGTCTTTAAGTCAACGAATTACCTTATACCGCCATCTGTTATAAACTAAGAGATATTAACTATCCTATCTTTCAAGTTGAATAAAACTGCATAAAGTGTGCAAAATTTGATTAAAATCGGTTCAGTAGTTTAGGAGTACATTGCGGACAAACAACGTGACACTTAATTTATATATATTAAGAAGATGTGCGATGTATTTACAAATATTTTACACGTTCTGACGTATTTATTTAAAAAAAAATAAAAAGCTACTGAATATCCTTCCCCCCCCTTCTATTCCCATCTCTATTTGCAAATTGTACGGTCATGGTGAAAGAAAATCAAACAAGAAACTTTCTTTTAACGATATTTTACTTTTTCCATACCTGTTTTCTTCGATCTTGTAGGTTCAATGATAAAAAAATAAAAATAAAACGAATCCAAGAAAGAAAATGAAAAAAAAAAAAAAAAAAAAAAAAAATAAGAAAAATAGATTGAACATACAAGTTCAACTTTGTACCATCTGTTATATTTAAAAAAAGATAAACGTAAGATGATTATTTTATTTGTTATCACAGTAGTTTCTTGTTGAGAGAGAAAAAAAAATATATACGGGCGGGTTTATATGATTGATAAACAAATTTCAATGACCCCGATTATATATCGTTGTTGTTACTTTATGCATTTTTTTTTTTGAAAATCCATAGAAAAAAGGAAAACTAAAAATACAATTATTTCGAACTGTTTCAAAATTGGCAAATGAAAAGTTGAAGATTTAATTTTAAATAAAAAAAAAAAAAAAATATATATTCCTGAAGGTTTCCCCACGTATTCCAAAAATTGGTTTTAAAAAGAACCAATATTGATAATAAAAATAAAATAAAAAAATTAACAAATGAAAGGTTTAAGATTTAATTTTAAATAAAAAGAACCCCAAAAAATATTCCTGAAGGTCTAACACGTATATATATATATATATATATATATATATTTTTCTTTCTATTTTTATTTTCTCTTTTTTAATCCAAAAGATTCAACCTACATTCATCATCTCAAGTTGGTGTGTTTCAAATGACACCAAATGAATTCTGCTTAAAAAAAAAAAATGCAGTAGTAAGAAGAATTATCATAGTTATCAAAGTAAAATAGTAAGAAAAATAAGACGAGTTAGGATGTTAGAAAGGGTTTTAATAAGAATGAGAAAGAAAGAGTAGTAAAAGGAGATGGAAGAAGAGCAGAAGGAGAACAAGAAGGAGGAGGAGGAGGAGGAGGAGGAGGTCAAAACTCGGAAGAGCCGATGATGAGACACAATTAATTAAGAATGTGACAAGAATGAGAGATGAACGTAGGTGTTGGTTACCGAGCTAGTGTCAACTCGCCTTTATGCAATTCGGTGCATAATTTGCAATGAAGAAGAGAACGAACAAGAGAGAAGAGAAGACGAATGACAAGAAGGTTCGCATTTCAGGGCTGCTTTTTATCTATGATTATCTTTCATTCGTTATTTTCATCAAGGATAAAAAGATACATAACATTCATACACTATCAAATCTTTAATATTTTCTATCTATCCACTCCCCCCTCCCCCACTACTTTCAATTTCATCAAATTTAACACAACGATGAAATCAAATACCTAATGTTAATTGATAATAATTGAATTTCAAATTACATTTGAAATGATAATTAATTGTTGATACTTTGATGATTTACTTGCACTTAAGATTAACTCTTGAAGTAAGTGACCCTCCTCCTCCTCCCCCCATCAAAAACAGGCCAAGAGTGGTGTTCTAATGAAGATGAATTTCTAAATAATTTTGCACCAAGTTTTTTCATCTAATCGAAAATGGCTAAGAAGAAATTTCTGTGAATAAACTTAAACATTCGTATTTTATTTTATTAACTGTAAGACCCAAATTAAATTGATATTAATTTAAGAAGTTTATCAAAGTAAGTGAAACAGTAGTACAAGTCAATGTTTGATGTAAAAAAAAAAAAGAGAAAAAGAAAGAAAACTGATAAAACTTATAACTTTTCATATTAAAAATGAAAATAATAGAAACACCGTTTGAATATCTCGTATCTAAGGTTGAGTACCAAGAATTGTTGCAATTGCGAGTTAAATGCACTTAGATGGGCAAGGGAAAGGAAGTGGGGAGTTACTCTAGTTAACGTAAATCGTACACATCATCCTTCTCTAGTCTTACACGACTAGACCTAACTAGACGTTCGACTACTACTCTGTTTTCAAAAGGACAACGATTATCATCAACAGATCTCTCTTTGGGCGTTGTTTGTTCATTGATTCCTTGTATAAAAAGTGAACAAAACAAAACAACAAAAACAATATCGTATATATAAGTATCGAAAGTTAATAATAAAAGTGTTAATTGGATTTTTAAAAAGAAGAAAAAAATGCCAGAGGAAAGTGAAAAACCAACGATCACTTCGAGATTAGAAAAATATTTGAAAGAAGCTCCGTTCTTCTGTAAGATCATCGAACTTGTAAGTGTTCATTGTATTAATAATAATTGAGTTGATCACACAATGCATTTCAATTGATCTACCTTTGGATGATGCATTTATTTATTTATGTGTGTGTGTGTGTGTTGTTTAAATGCAACGATGAAGAATTAAGTTAACAAATGGAAAAACATTTGATTTTACTCGAAACAAATTTTACATTCTCGTAGTCAAGTCAGGTCAGGTTAGGTCAGGTGTGAAATTTATTTTTGATTGTTATCAATGTTTAGAACTTTGTAATTGGGTTCTCACTCAAAGAGACAACTTTTTCATTTTTCCGGCTAGGTCACCAGATCGTCTAACGTCACTCGACTTTTTCTTATTGGGCTACTTAAAAAATAAAGTTTAATTAAAGCTGAGCCTGTTGTTGTTTAATTCATTGTTGACTTAATTCAATATTGCAATTACCCTACACACATTTATGTAATTTCTTATCGTTTCAAAATGATATTGTACAAACATAGTTGGATTTTGTGTTCTTTTGTTTTTTTTTTTTAGATCTTATGCGTTATATCGGTGGGTTTAATAGTCAACCCTTTCAATGAAATTTCTAATAAGGATATTAAAAAAGACATTAATGATATTGCCATTGTTTACGTATCATTGTGTGGATATATTTTGATAAATGCTATTATCATCCTGTGCCATTTACTTGGTGATCGTATGCCAAAGAAAACGGTAAGTTTAACAGTTACTTTTATCTTAGTTTTATTTCGAAGATAACGTGTGTTGCATTTGTAAAAAAAAAAAAAAAAAAAAAATTACATAAATAATTGTCAAATTAGTTAATTGAAATTTGATTGAAAAATGTCGTCAGTTTTATCCTGAGTAACTTGGAAATCATTTTTTGTTTTTTTTTTTTAAACGACACCTGATCTAAATTCGTTAAATTTGCAAAAGGACTATTTTCTATATTTCAAAGATTTATTCGAAATAAAATCTCATGCAAAAAGGTTGAATAAATGAAAAAATAATGAAGTCGATTAATGCAAAATTCTATTTTAAAAAAGAAAGAGAGAGAGAGATAGAGAGAGAGAGAGAGAAAAAAAAAAGAAACTATGTCATCAAGGATTTATTTTATATTTTACAGGCAATAACATTTTCCGTGATGGGGGCGGTACTATGTCTTGCAGCCGGCCTTGTCCTGATTCATGATTGGACAGAATATCCGAACAATTTGATATTACCAAATGTCGAACAATATAGCCATCAGATGATCTCAAGTGCAATATTTGCTATTTTTGCATCGATTGTCTTCACTAGTGACATTTATTTTACTAACAAGTATTATTAAATATTATTGTTTAAAAATCACATTTTTACAAATCAACACGATTATTGAATATTTTCAATAGGAAGATGACATTTTACGTGTAACTTTTATTTCTATCAAAATTTCATTCATTTATGACCCTCATAAACTTTGCATTTGACCATGCGAGTAAGTCCCAATGTACAAAAAGAGAGAGAGAGAGAGAGAGAATGAAATTCAACATTTTTTTCAAGGATTTAAAATGTAAATTATTGTTTGAAGTATTCAACAAAATATTCTATTATAATGTTTTTTAACATGAAATATACAGAAATATTTTTAGACAATTCGTCGACAAATATTATTACAAAGTTCTGAGAATACAAATCAAGATAAAATTTGTTATCTAGTTTGAAAAAGATAATAAAAAAAAAACAAACCATAAAAGACCAGTGGAATAATATCGAGACGACTTGATTTACATATCTGTGTGTGTGTGTGTATATATATATCTGTTAAGTAGTGCGACAGTGAAACGAGTCAAAGTATAGTCAGACCGATAAAAGGTGACCACAATGAAGCTCATGTTTACATGGATCATGATCTATTTCTACAAATACACACAGACACACACATATTCAAAGAGAAAGAGAGAGAGAGATAGTAAAATTCAACGTTTTTTAAAATAATTTGATATTATTAAAATAAAATATCGTATTTAAATTCACATAAAATTGAAGGACCCTACTACAATTGCAGTATTTGATTCCAAAAAAAAAGAAGATAAAAAACAATATATATATTTATAACAACAAATTATAATAACTAGCATATAAAAATATAATATTATTTTAATATCTTCTTAATATATATAAATTACGTGTCACGTTGTTTGTCTGCAATGTACTCCTAAACTACTAAACCGATTTTAAACAAATTTTCCACACTGTGTGCAGTTTCATGCAACTTGAAAGATAAGATAGTTTATATCTCAATTAATAAACGCAATATTATTTTATTGATGTGTGTATCGGACTAATTGTGAGCTAGCACAGCAACGCGTGGCAGGGTTTCTTAGTATTATTATATATTTGTTATAAAAATACGAAAGATATTCGATAGAACGTGTTTGAAATGTAAAAGACTTTATACAATAAAGAAAGATAAAATAAGCTGCTATTAGATTATTGTCGAAGATTTTTAGAAAACTTCTAAAAAGATAAAAAAAAAAAAAGACAAGATAGTTGTGCTTGTGTTCGAATACCTGCAACTTTGAAAAGCGAGCAATTCTGCGCTCTTATCGATCCAAACGTCGAAACATGTCTTCTTCCCCGCAATATACATACACTACTACATCATCTATATATTTCGAAAATATAATATACTTGTCTTTCTAGAAACAACTTAATCCTTTTTTTCTTTTTTTTTTCCTACGATCGATTAACAACATTTATATAAGTACACTAAATACCAAGATTTCATAATAAGTTGTATGACATCTTTTTTTTAAAGATCAGACATTTTGTTGATATTTTTGATTAACGATCAATCAATCAATTTTTATATATCGAATTGATACATCATTGTTTATTTGTATCTATACAATACATAAATATATGACACACGTATGTAAATGTATAAACAAACAGATACTGTATATCGTATCAGAAGGTGAGAGATGTAATTGCCAACAAGAAACACGAAACTTGATCATAGTTAAAAGTCTATTGTGATAAATTGTTATTAAAGATAATAAATAATTGCGTTGTCTCTTCGACCTCGACTAAGAAAATAATTCATTTTGAAAATTTCATGTAAATAACGATGATTATTATAATAATCTTGATTGTTCATTTGCAATTTATTTCGAAAGAACAATTTGAAAGATTGAATATAATAATCATCTCTTTCTCTTTCTTTCTCTCTCTCTCTCTGTCTTTCTTTAAAACAAAATCATTTTTCATTTATAAAAACATTGAAAAGTTCAATCGATCTATTAAAATTTTTTTGTTAATTTCATCGATAGATGACACAAAAGTAATTTTTTATCAAAACATTCGAGAGATGCTTTACGATTGTAACATTTGGCAAATATAAAAAAAAAAATGTTAAAATAATGTACTCAAAAAAAAACACACACACACACCATTTGTCCTATTCCACTTATTTATAAAAAAAAAAAACAACTCACCACTACCGATTGATTAATTCCACTGAAAATAAAATATTCCCTCCCCCCCAAAATAAACAAGAAAATGTGAATCAAAACTAACACACACACCACTTGTAACAATGTTGTTTGACACACTGATTTAAAAAAAAAAAAAAGGTTAAAAAAAAATCGTACACACTTTTTATCTGTTTTTTTTCTTTTTTTTTTTTGAGAGAGAAATACTGTTAAAACCTCTTAATCCTTATTCACACTCAAAATACCTACTACACAAAGAAAGAGAGAGAGAGAGAGGGAGAGAGAGAGAGAGAGAGAGAGAAAAAGTAAATGAATAAAAGAAAGATTGAAATAAAATAAATAGTATGCAGATGTAAACCGGTAAACGTCGTTGCGTCGACTGACGTCCTCCCTCGAGCGGCACCTCAAACGACCCTTTCGCATTCCCCACCCTCAACCCTCCAACCCCCACCACGCCGCTAACAGCGCCACGTTCCCGTTGCCGCCGCCGCCACCGCCGTTGTTGCCGCCGCCCACATTTTATTCCATTTTAAAAGGCAACCAAGAAGAAGAAGAAGAAGTCCACCCAACTTTCTCTCCAATCCTTTTTTCGATTCGTCCTTTTTTTTTTTTTTTCCAATAACTCGATGAATATTCTGTCAACAATTTTTCCCCCATTTTGATTATTCGATCATATTTATTCATACGTTATACACTTTGTCCAAACTTTTTGCCTAGCATAACAAATGTTACATAAAAATAAAAGGACCATTTGTTTAAATTGTTCTTTCATTAAAAAAAAAAAAAAAAAAACTAAAAGGTCAACTTTACTTTTTAATTAATCCGACATTTGTCGAACACAGTGTACTACTCTCTGTGATAATTAATTTTCCAAATGTGTTTTTTCTAATGAAATATTTTTTTCATGCTACTCGTCAAAGTTGGCAAAGGTAGTATACCATTAGGGAAAAGGCCATTGCATTAACCCTTTGACTACAAAAAACTACGCTTCTACAAGCACCGGATACGAATAATGTTTTTTCAATAATGAATGAATGAATGAAAAAAACAAAAAAACAGTATTGTCATTAATTTGAACATTTCTCAACTGTACAAAAAAAAAAAAAACATTATATATAATACATAAAAAAAAAAAAAAGAAAAATGCATTATTTAATATTTAAATAATTTCTATATGTATCGGTGTATTTGATTTTTTTTTATGTCAGATCAATAAGTTGTTTCCCTAATTTGTAATCAAATAATGTACAACCAATATGAAAATTTCTTTCCCCATTTTACTTTACTCTTTTATTAGTGTCCTTTAGACCTATTATTATCCTTGCTTCGATTTTTATTTTTGTTTCATCATTATCATCATCATCATCATCATCATCATCTTCTGGTTCGAAGGTATACTTTCTTGAAGATACGACCGACCCAGAAAATGAAGACATGATAGATACGTCTGAACTAGCCTGAATGCATAACATAAATCAAGATACTCTCCGTTTAAAGAATTTGAGAAAGCGGTTAATTCATCGAAAGTCCACGATTCGTTCTCTCTCTCTCTCTCTCTCTCTCTCTCTCTCTCTTTCTCTCTATCTGTGAAATTGATGAAGTATATATACATTTGTGAAATATCGATTATTACCTCTCTCTCTCTCACTCCGTTCATCCTTTTTTTTTTACCTCCCTGTATGAATATGAAATATGTATTAGATATATGTATATGTATTGATCAATAAATAGAGTATCCTCTATTTTAATGATGTTTTAAAGATTGCATTTTGCTTTTGTTTTTGTTTGTTTGTAATGTCAATTTTCTCTAACTTTCTACATACAAGTTTTTTTTTTTGCACGAATACACGTTGTTATCGATTTAAACTTACAATACAATTAGTTTAATAATTGGTGCATCAGTAGTATTCTTTTACAATAGGATAGATGCATCGTATATCCAATAATAATGCATCAATGGAACGTAGCCAATGCACCAACTATGTAACTCCATTAGCATTACACTTGTAAAATGTTTCAATCTATATTACAAATATATTGTATCAATGAATGAATTAATTTATTATGTCAATTGAAACATTCTGATTATAGAAGTTCCAACAGTTATCAAATGAAATCGAATCGAATTATTTATTTTGACATGAACTTTTAATAAACATAAAGAAGAAAATATGTAAATCCTATGTCGCGACAATAACGGGGCTTCATTGTCGTCCTAAGCATGACACCCTATATAAAGTTAGTTTGATTTTACACCCAAACACTTTGCAATGGCTTCTTTCAGCTATTTCCACGTGATTTCAACGTCACGTGTCTAACATTTATTTTATCAGCTCGTTCGTTTAACTCACTAATAGTTGTATACTTTACTTTTTATCTTAAAACTTTGAATATTATCAACTTGTATATTATCTTGTAAATAAAAGTTAACGTACTTGAAAATTGGACAAGACAACAACAAAAAAAGAAAAATATCTAATCGGGTATACTGTTTAACATAGATATGAAAATAAAATGCATTTTAATATCCGTTTTGAGAAGATATCATAGAAAGGTCTCTTCTATCCATGGCGTGCGACATTGAATAACGGCAAAGCCACTTTTATCGACTTTTCATTGCTGACACGCAACTTTGAAATATATCCGATATACCATCCGTAAACGACGAGTCTCGCTTTAGGAAATGTTTAACTTGATTTCGTAGCACATTTGAGAGAAATGGAAAAGGAGTATATTATAACAATTTGGTTTAATCTTTTAATCATATTTTCTTGTCTTTTCTGTTTTCTTTCTTTCGAATGGCTTTAAAAAATAAATCCTAAGTAACGAAGTAAACTCGAAAGTTGAGATGAAACAAAATTACGCGCCAAAGTTTGAACATTGCACCACTACGATGACGATGACGACGAGGAGAACAGGTGAGTTTCTTGAATTGAATTGAATTGAATTTGATTGAAATTCATTTGCATTTATTTAATTAATATGCAACGATAAAAAGAAATAATTTTGTACAAAAGAAAGATGTGCCGCCTAACACCTTTCACATTGACGACTTGTATAAATAATAAAATTGACTTTTTTTTTCTCTCTCTCTCTCTCTAATAAATTATTCAAATAACCTGATGATTATTAATAGAATTGATGAAATATAAGCACCTAAAAGTAATTCGATATAATACGTCTATTAATGAGAATATGTTATGGCACTTGTGACGCAGTTAACGTTATAAAGCAACTTGGCAATCATCATTTTCTTATGTTAGAATAACATAACGTTTTATAAATTATTCGATAATGTTTTATATATTATCGAATTTCTATAAACAAATATATCTATCATTGATTAAATATAAATTTGTATATTCAATTTTTATACATACATTAACGTTAATGTATATACACAAATTCTTCATTTACAATTTAATTAATATTATAAAAATACAAAAAATAATTCGATCAAATCTTTGCATATATA